CTCACTCCTGACCCACCAGCCCCTGCTAACCCAGCCCTGCTCCCCCCAGCTCTGCCAGTGCCCCTCACTCCTGACCCACCAGCCCCTGCTAACCCAGCCCTGCTCCCCCCAGCTCTGCCAGTGCCCCTCACTCCTGACCCACAGACCCCTGCCTAGCCCAGTCCTGCCCCCCCAGCTCTGCCGGTGCCCCTCACTCCTGACCCACAGACCCCTGCTTTTTCTCTCCCAGATGCAGTCTGCAGGGATGCGGAAGGGATCCAAGGGGGTGAGGTCGTGTACCCCAAGATCCGAACCAATGGCAGCGTCCTGGAGTATCGCTGCCCCCCGAACAGCTACGCCCACCCCGTGAGCTGGAGGGTCTGTCAGTCCAGTGGGAAGTGGTCGCCTCTGAGGAATGCCTTCGAGTCAGCCCAAAGGCCCTCCTGCATCAGTGAGTAGAACCCAGGAGTTCTGGCTCCCAGCCCCCCCTGCTCTAACCACTAGACCCCACTCCCCTCCCAGAGCCAGCGAGGGGACCCAGGAGTCCTTGCTCCCAGCCCCCACTGCTCTAATCCACTCGACCCCCCTCCACCGCGGAGAACCCAGGAGTCCTGCCCCTCCCCTCTCTCCCCTGCAGACTACACCTGCACTGGCTACATCACCTTCGAGAATGGGTGGCACGAGCCTCGGCAGAACAAGTACAGCGTCGGGGACACAATCACCTTCCACTGCCAGCCCGGGCACCAGCTCTTCGGCACCGCCCGCCGCACCTGCCTGGCCAACGGCGAATGGAGTGGCCGCACGGCCGTGTGCGACCCCGAGGGTGAGTGGGGCTGGGAGCCAGGATGCCTGGGTTCTCCTGGCTCTGGGAGGGAAGTGGGGGTTGGTGGGTTAGAACAGGGGGGGTGGGAATCTCCCTTACCCATCCCCATCTACCCCACTCTGTGGGGACTCCCGTCCCGACCGTGCAGCCCCTACCCCGGGTGGTTAATGCAGCTGGGCCTGTCTTCCTGCAGACTCCCTGTGCCCCTGGCCAGGCATCCCCCTCGGGGGGCATCGCAAGGGCCGTATCTTCGAGCCAAGCAAAGCCGTGACCTTCACCTGCCTCCAGGAGCTGGTGCTGCGGGGCTCTGCCCGCCGCGTCTGCCAAAACTCAGGCCAGTGGTCGGGGGAGGAGCCGCGCTGTGAGGGTGAGTCGCACGCCGAGCCCCAACCGTCCCCCCGACCCGGGGGTCCTTCTGCCCCTTGTGTGTCTGTCTTGCCATCCGCCGTATGTCTCCATCCATCCAACTCTCACCTACCCATCACCCCTTCCAGGCACCCAGCGCTGGTTCCCAAGGGATGGTCTGTACTGTACCCCATTGGGGTGGTTGTCCAGGCCCCCTCATCCCATGGGGGGTCCCCCCGCCCCTCACCCCTATCCGTACCCCCCGGCTGACCTGCTCTGAACCCACAGGCCGCTACGCCTATGACAAAGTGAGCTCTGTGGTCGAGCACCTGGACATGGAAGAAATCACCTCGCACGCACAAACAGGTCAGGGTCAGCGTGCGGCCCCTGTTCCCCACCCCCCACACGCCGAGCCAGGAGCCCCAAGGACTGGGGGGCCCAAGACCAGCCCCAAAGATCCCCTTGGACACCACGCAGTCATCTGCAGAGCCCTGCTAATCCGTGGGTATCCGCTTTATATCCACGGACCGTTTCTGCGGAGAGTAGCGCGGATGTGAGGAACCACAGCATGGACACTCCACCTGCCCTAGGCAGGGCACCTGGGCGACAGGGACACTGGGCGGGGGCTGCTCGGGGCCCCTGCCCAGGGCAGGTGGAGGGACCCAGCTTCCCCACAGCTGCCCGCCCAGCTCTCCCCGCCCAGGCTCTGTCAGGTGGGTGTCTCAGAGCCACAGCCCGGCCACTGTAAGGAGAGCCCGGCAAATCTGTGAAATATCCATTGGCAATTTTTGCAGCTTGCAGATCGGATGCAGATACACATTTTTGTATCCGTGCAGGGCTTTAGTCATCTGGACCTGGACAGTGGATGAGGGAGAGGGAGTGAGGGAATAGAGGGATGGAGGGGCGGGGTGGGTGGGTGGATGGATGGATGGATGGATGGATGGCAGGGGAGACGGATGGATGGATGGATGGATGGATGGATGGATGGATGGATGGATGGATGGCAGGGGAGACGGATGGATGGATGGATGGATGGATGGATGGATGGATGGATGGATGGATGGATGGATGGCAGGGGAGACGGATGGATGGATGGATGACAGAGGAGATGGATGGATAGATGGATAGATAGATGGATGGACAGGCAGACAGGCAAACAGCAGGGGTAGCTCCCATGAAG